GAGTTTTTGAGTTTGAATCCCTGTTGGGCTACTTACTAGATGAGTTTATATAAATGAATTGCTTCATTTTAGATACATCTCTAAACTTCAGCTCTGAAGTAAATACTTATGAGGATTAAATGTGCCATGACACTGTGTTTAGCAATAGCTGTTGTTTATGATTTGTGACTTAACCCCTGGTAGCTTAATTAGCACAGAAGTGTGTCTCTCCCCACATAGGCATGGGATTCTCTATACTGTGACTCTGTCAATAGGGTTCCAATGTGTCCTGGTTGATGGCTTGACTTTTGAGCATGTTCAAGTGCCAGAAGAGCACTCTTTTCTTTCAGATGCACCTGATGACCTGGCTCTGTATCAGAGAGTTTACCACATCTGCTCTGTGTGATGCCAAGTAACCCTCTGGCCAGTGGGGGACTCTCCAAACAGGGACAAGGCCCCTGACCCTGACTGCTCATTGTGATCCACATCTCCCACTGCTTGATGGGGAAAGCATTTCTGAACACTCCCAGCTTGAATGTATTATCCCCAAAGGACCTTCAGTCTCCAGATGTGAGAAGCCTACATTTTCCTGCCCCATTTGGCATCTTTGCACAAGCTGAAGCCGATGCACTGATTTCTGGTTGCCAATTGGTGCATCTCTGGGGTATGGCTTTTTCTCATACTAAAAATGTCTCTGTTCTTGTACTTGCCAGCCTGGGACTGTTTCCTCATGGGAAGTCCCTGGAATGAGGTAATTCATGATATAAATCAGACTTGGATAGTATATGCTTAACACTTTTCTTCATTTAGAGACAGGAACTCACTATCTAATCCTGTCTGACCTAGAACTCACTATATAGACCAGACTGGCCTCAAACTCAGAGATCTGTCTCCCTCTGATCATGAGTACTGTTTTTGAAACACATACCACCACACCTGCAAGACCTTCTTATAGAGTTTATATACATGAGAGCAAAAAAGTGGAACTAGCACCTAAGTACCCATTAAAAGATAAATTGGTAATAAAAATGTGTGACATGAAACTGATGGAATGTTACTCAGCAGTAAACAAATATGAAATCATTAACTTGCAGGAAAACACATGGATCTCAGGAGTAAACATTAAGCAAGGTGATCCATCCATACAACAGAAACTGCATATTCTTCCCTGTATGGGATGCTAACCTATAATGTACACATGTGTGAGGGTAATATTGGGCAATGATAAAGGATATAGGACAAACAGAAAAAGATATTGGGGGCTGGCTGGGAGCTGCAAGAAGGACTAAGGGAGCAAAGAGATTAGATTGGTAGAACCACACCAAAAAAAAAATTTTTTTTGTCCTCAAATATCATAATGCTATCTAATATATTATATAATGATTTTTAAGTATAATAAAGCCAATGAAAGTGAAAAAATAGTTTACCTACAACCTTAAGCCTCAACCATCTATGGTGACAATCAGCATGATAAGGTCCCCAATTTGCTGGTTTCCCTATCATATTCTCCATCTCCTCCCAAAATCCTATCTTCTAAAAAATTTTAATATATTTATTTATATGGAGTATTATATACATAACATAGGGAAGGTATTTGTGGAGGTCAGAAAACAACTTGCAAGAGACAGTTCTCTCCTTCCCCCACCTGGGTTCCAAGGATCAGAAGCAGGTTACAAGCTTGGCAGCATGCTCCTTTGCCTGCTGAGCCATCTTGCCAGCCCACCTTCACTCCTTAATTACTTTCTCTCAGTTTTTTAGACTTTTAGCCTCTTTCGGGAGGAGCCAGACTCTAACAGTGTCTCCTCAGTGCTGACAGAAGTCAGCCAGGAAATACAGTTTAATAAATAGGGGGGAGAACCTCATTCTATCCTATGCCCTGGTTACTAGTAGACACAAATGTCTGAAGCTCAGCCAAGTTCTTTGCCATTAATATGAGTTTAGTGACTATGAAGAGACCCAGAAATGCCATATGTAAGGGACTCAGAGTGAACTCTGACATGTACATACTTACAAAAAGACTAAACAGTCTGGAAGTCTTGTCGCTGACAACTGGGAGCCTCAGCTCCCTGTGAGGATGAACATTGCTCATAGAAGTCTCATTAATGCGTGGTAGAAACTCAGATCAGGCTGCAGGTCTTGAGAAGGATGAGGAGACACCTAGAGCATCACATATAATCAGTTTATTGCCAGGTAAGAAATTCATATTAATATAGTGAATACATATGTTTACAAATAGACATTCTTAGAAAACAAACAAATGTTTTTTTTTTCTTCATTGTAGGAAGTGTTATTGTATCATAAACTCGCAGTGTGACAAATGTTAACACAGGGTTACTTGCAGAACATACAATTACTAAAATATTTGCACATAAAATATGCTCCATTTACACAAAATAAAATAAAATAAACTGAGGGAGGTTAGGTGGGAATTCCAGGCAGAGCCCAAAGCAGATGGAGGCTGAGATACTCCAGGAAGGTGAAGGAAACCAGATTCTGGTCCCATGAAGTTAGAAACAAAGGTCACATTGATGGGCGAGAGAATGGTTTTGTAATCATATTTTTCCCTTCTTCTCTTCTATTTCTCCCCAGGGTGGCCACAGGAGCCTTGTCACATGGCAGACATCAATTGTCCTACAAGCCCTGTTCCCTTTAGATATCAGAAGGATTATCTGCATTCTCAAGAGGAAGAAAGAATAGACAAATCTTCCCTGCCTTATTGGCCCTCCTCGGTTGGTTTCCCAAAGTCAACTGGGAAGTGCTTTGTGAGCTGTGCATGACCCAAATTACTTGGGAAGTATATGCTACATCTTATTGGCCAAACTGTATCTTTGAAGTCAAAATTACAGTTGCAGACATAGTAGTCAAGTTCACTGGATAAAGTCTACTCTGAAAAGAAAAGTGAGCAAGAAATAGAAGACTATAGACTAGAAATCAAGAAAGACCCTTGTTGATCCCTCCTGGAAGGCATCACCCTCCCTGTGGAGTGGGGGCTGGGAATTGGATGGGAGGGTGCTCAGCGGGCATGGGAAGGAGAGAGGGAGAGGGAACTGGGATTGATATGAAAATAAAAAAAAAAAACAACAACAAAAAAAGGAAGACCTTTAAATTAGGATTAGATAAAGGGGTGATGAAGTGAGTGGAGAGGAAAATGAGCTAGAAAGAAAGGATTTCATCAGAACTTGACCTGGAAAGCATCTCTCAAATAGGGCAACCCAGGATTTCTTAAAGTATGTCACTAGTACATGCAGATTGTATGGCATGGAGGTAGCATTTTAACACCAACTTTAAAAATATTTTCTTTTCATCTGCTTACCCTTTCATTCAATTATCCCAAGGAAGCTCTCTGTTGGGTACCAGTATCTTTAACAACATTAATGCCTTATGAGAGAGAAGAGACCAGGCAAGACCTTCACTAGAGTTCTATCTTTGAGGCCTTCATGTTTTCCATTATGTTTACTGTTTATTCATGGTAAATGATGCTGGTAATTTGTATGTAATGAAGGCAAATGTTTCCTTTTTAAAATAACATGGATTAAAGTGAGTCCATTAAGATGCCAATACTATGATGATAATCCCCAGAAAATGATGTGTTTCAAGAGTGGAGCTAAGGCATGTCAAAAGAGATGTGCATTTCAGGAGTTCATACTCCCCTGTGGAGGGTGCTGGGGTCTCAACATTTACTCTGACTTCTGTGTTGCCCTTTTCTCATCTCTTATATGGGAATCTTATAGAGTTTATTCTTTGAGGAACTTTAAATAAGAAAAGAGTAATAATTTTTTAAATTTGAAAAGGCTTGATTTAGGCCAGATTCCCCATGTCTCAGATGGGAGCCAACCCCAGAGAGATCAAACATATTGCCAGGTCCTTCATACTTGCTTGGAATGTGGGGAAAACATTCAAATGCACTGATGTTGTAATACCAGAGAGACCCAGGAGGCAGCACATCACATGGAACACTCCAACTCACTTTCACCTAGATTTTTATACTGTAAGAAAAAAAAAAGCTGTGAGTATTTGGAAGGTTTTTGTAAATTACCTAACAACTTCAGGGGCTATTTGAAGACTTTCATTTTTAAACAAAATTCTCTTGCTTCTCCATGTACCTTTCTACACTTCCACAAAATGAAAAATGAAGGACTTTTTAGCAGAACTCTTCTTCTTAGGAACCAAGAGCTGTTGGCTCTAGAAACCAATTTGGAAGTGGCTTTGGTTTTGGGAGAGTCCAGGGAGCAAACATGGCACAGAGTACCTCTGGAAGTCATCTGGTGTGATTGGGGGATTCTGGGAGTGTCCTTAGGGCCCCCTGACACTGTAGCAGCCCCTTCAAAGAGTATTAATTGATTGCTGGGCTCACCTACAAAAGGGAAGGTGGAACATCACTACTGCAGAAGAAACAGGAGGGAGGAAGGCTAAAAGAACATAAGATGCACTTAGAAACAAGACCGTCACTTGAACAATAGCAACACATTGAAGGCACCACCCACGCTTATGACAATTTCACTCCAAAGCAGTTGAAGTTTGGCAGCAGCAGCAGCAGCGACACACTGAAGTGGAAAGGACATTAGGGACAGACAGTTCATAGAGGACATTTTTGTCAGTGTTCCAGGTCTTGGAGGTGAGGGAGAAACACCAGGAAGTGGAGGTTTCTCAGTCCCTAACACACCTCCTGTTAACTCTCCAACTGCAAATTTTCTAAGCCCTGGAAAAAATTAATATGCTGTTCATTTCACATGTCACTTTAAAAGTTCATTTTTTAGTATTCTCTGGATCCTCTGGATATCATGAAAAGTCCATCCTTCTCAACATCATGGTCTTTCAGGGAATTCTCTAGAATGTTCTTCCCTTCCATCATTGATGGTGGACTTAGAGAATATTAACTTGTGAGATTTTTGCTTTTTAGCTTGATGGTATGCAATGTTCCATCAGTGTGATGCTTAGGGTCCATTACTGCCTCATACTCATCACAATTCTGTGCTTCCATCACTTCTTGGAACTAGGAAATGCTTGTGATGCGAACAAATTCCTCCCCAAGTACTCTGAAGCTACCCCTGCCAGTGTGCCCACCCTTTTCCTTTACCAGGAAAGAAAGGACATGGGAGATGGAGTGTACTCCATGGGCAGTTTGTCTATATTGTGCTACTTATATATATATTTGTTATAATGGAGTTCAGTTTCCAGTTGGGGGAAAAGGAACATGAGCCCCCACAACTTGGGCCTGAAGCTGAAAGTTTCCCCTCTGCTGTATTGCTTGCTGAATGTCCATGCTTCGGTCTCACTCAGCTACCTGCTGGAGCATATTAAGCATGGCCCAGGAAAAGCATGATTCTGTATCACGAGTAGGTCTGTGGTTGGTTCCTGGAGAACAGAGTGTGTGGGTCTGCTTGGGGGTTGGGCAAGACCAGGAAGGTGTGGGTAGGATGGTATTTTTTGCCTCTCTCAGTTGAGTATGGTCTCCAGGGTACTCCCTGAAGTGAAAGCTCAGACAGTCACTTCTGTTTTGCTGTTGGTGATGAAGTATGGCTGTGTGGGTGGGAAATGCTGGGTGCGAGTCCCCAAGGGGTCGCAAGAGCCTGACTCAGCTATACCAAGCTTGCCCTTGTTGCCATAAGCCTGTCGCCGAAGAGACTGGTCACTGGGATCCCAGGTCTTAAAGTTGGCAGTAGAGTTGTAGGCCAGGGGATGAGGTGGCATCTTGTTGGTTCGAGACTTCTGTCCATTCTGCTGGGCAGGCCCATGCTCCGGGCTGAAGGCCCTGGGCTCATCTTCCACTCTGACAGGGTGCAAAGGGAGATTTCCCTTGGCAGCCAGCTCTGCCAGGTGCCTTCGCTTGGTGTAGAAGTCATCATTGACCTTGTCAGCTGCACAGTGGGGTGGGCAGATGGAGAGGAGAGCAAACATGGAAGAGAGAAGAGATAGTTAGGGAGTTAGACTAGTCAGTTTGAGGATACTGCAAAAATGGGCTTACAATCCAAACAAGACACATCGGGACTCCACCTGGAACAAGACAGAGGCAAGCGTGGCACCATGCCCTTTTCACAGTTCAGAGCAGAAACAGGAGGTTTAAAGGTACACCCAATTAAACACACCATGACCACTCAATTAAACACATCTAGACCACCCAGTTAAACACATCTAGACATCCCCCCAATAAAATGGTTCTCCCACCACAGTTTCACACCTCTTGCCCATTACCTTGGATTTTCTAACATTCAAGTGTTGTTTCTTCATCATTAAAACAATAAATCTCACTAAAGAAAACACTGGAAATTTTGAAAAATATGCATACCATGTACCAGTAAGGAATGGCAGTATTGGCTGGTGGATGTATGTATGTATCTTTATCTGGCCTCTTCTGGAGTTTGTGTATATGTGTTGGAGGGAACACATGAGAACAAGTATCACTTCAGATGTCTTTCTCAATTACTCTCCATCTTTTATTTGAAGCAAGATCCAGATAATGCCAGGTGGCCAACCATAGAACCTCAGGGGTTCTCCTGTTTCCATTTTCCCAGCACTGGGATTATGAGAGCATGCCTTGACTTTCATAGGTCTCAAACTCAGGTCCCCCACTTGTACAAAAAAATATGTCACCAACTGAGCCATTTCCCTGTTCCTTTCCTGTATTATTCCTAGTTTGTATCATTACTTTAGATTTTTTAAACTTTTTTATTTTATTAATTTATTTTTTAACATATCGATCCCAGTTCCCTCTTCATCCCTCCCTTTTTCTCTCCCTCACTCCTTCCCTCTTTCCTTCTCTCCCCCTCCCTCACATGTACCCCATACTTTAGTTTTTGCTGTAAGCTTTAACTAGTATTGTGCTCAAATCCCGATTCTGCCATAGGCCTGCAGTATAACTTTGGCTGTCTTACTTAAATTTTACCACTATCAACTTTTGCATAAGCAAAGTACTCAGAACAAACTAACAAAGTGTATTTCTTGGTGTTGTGTGGACAGCTAAGTGATTTGATGTGTACTGAGCATTTTCAGTGCTTCAGTCCTGATTATCATTATCATCAAAACTGCTTTAACTCCTCCGATGATAGTCTATGGAGCATCCTCTAGCTTGCCATAACTACTTAACAAATAATGTCTTAATGACTAAATATTATTTCATCAATTACGAGAATTAATTCCTTTAGTGATGAAAAGTTAAGCTATGCTAATGTTACTCTTATAAATAAAACTAGAGACAAAAATCTTATGACTTAAATCTTTTGAATTAAGATTAATTCTAAAATATGTTTTCTTAATCTGCACCAGAAAGTAGCAAATTGTAGCCCCATGCAGTTACCAACCATCTGTTGTTATAAATAATGTTTTCTTGAAAACAAAGCCATGCCCATTTATTTACCTATTGCCAGTGGCTGTGATGTAATCGAGTTACATGGCAGACAATCAGTGGCTGAACAGCTTGAAATCTCTACTGCTCTGCCCTTTAAAAAAAAAAGTTGACTAACTCCTGACTGGATTGTCCAGTGTAGAGTGCTATCTACAAAGAGTAGAAATGTTGCTCTTCATTTTACCAACTGTTAAGATTTGAGCCAATTTTTACCACACCCTGTCCTCACTGATGGTCCCTTGCTTTCTCCCCTCCTCCTAACTTCATTATCTTGTATTCATTATTTTTTGAGTTCTTAAATGAATACAGTATTTACATCATTTACACTCCTCATGCCCCATTTCTCCCCTTTAAATTCCCTCTTCTTCAATTATTATTGTTGCATATATGGGGAGTGTGTGTGTGTGTGTGTGTGTGTGTGTGTGTGTGTGTGTACAATCTAATGAGTTCACTTAGTATGGCTGATAGTGCATGCCCTTGGGACTGGATGGATGCCCACTCAGGGGACTTGTCTTGGAGAAGACTGACTCTACCTTCCTCAGGAGCCATTCATTGTCTGTAGTTCTTCGCTTACAGATGGGGCTTTATTTATTTAGATCCTATTATTCTAATAATCCAACGATTTCCATTTTTCATTTTTTTCTTATTTTATCTTATATTTTTATTTCTAAGATTCTTTATAATTTTAAATTCTTTTCTTAACAATAATACACTTGTGAATTTGAATCTCACTAAGAAGTTTGTTGTTCATTTGCCTATGCTACTAGTAGCTAACATCCCATAGAATCCTTACAAGGTTACAGATTTCGGTAAGCACTGTTGTTCATTCTTTCATCTTTCTATACAAAAGATGGGCATTTTGAATTCTGTATATGGGTTCTGCTATACAAACTAGGAAACTGTCAAATTCAAACACATGAAATGAACCAATTGAGGTTACTCACAGCTTGTTGATCAATCCTAGTAATAAAAGCAGCCACCTGGTATTAAGAAGACAAATATTCAGGTACCCAGACCCATCTCTAATTGTGTTTAATCAGAATCGTTGAAAGGCCAGTCCAGACACCCTTTGAGTCCATGCAATCAATCTTAACCCACTGCTGCATGGGTAGCTTTTCAGAGAAAATCAACTAAGAATGGATTCCCAACACACTATTGGTATCCTTCTATAAATATGTTCTTCTCCAAGATTCTTGCCATTGCTCCCACTCTGCAGCTGTTCCACACTGTGTTCATTGTTGTTTATATTGCTCACTAGAACTCCATGAAGGCAAGGCCAGGTCTGTGTTCTGTCTCCCCTTTCATAACAATGTGAAGCTTGGTTTCTAGCAAATACTGAACATACAAATGTTTGATGGTGAGTGCACAAGCAAAAATATCATAAAGTGCAGAGAAGCACAGCTAGTCAAGAGTACAATGGAGCAATTCCCCTTCCTGTTGCCTCCCCAGGCTTCTTTTACTGCAAATCTCACTTACTTTCATTATGTACCTGGTCCTGGCCTAGCGTGGTCATTTGTGTACTCCTACCCCTCAGACATTAAACTAAGCCCAAGATTATCTTGGAGCATGGTTCAAAGTTTCCCATTTTCACAAATGGAAAAAGTGATTATGGAAGAGGCAAGACCATCTCAGAAAACTATAAAGAGAAGTAAACATGGGAACATTTGCCTCTTGGGCTGTCAAGGAAGATGAGAGTCTCTGCAGCTGACCAAAACCAAACTGTTCTATTGGTGAACCTGGTATTGGAAACACCTTGGGAATTGTAGAGTAGTTTTTAAAAAAGTATGGACTGTGAAGTCAGACAGACCATGAAGATGCCACTAAACACCTTATACCTGTTTCCTTAGGCTAAAATGGGGATAACACTATATACAGGTAGACTTATGAGGACTAAAGAAGCATATGTGATATATATGCTATATACAATAATTCCTAGAGTACAATACAACATCCTACTTCTTTGCCTTTGAAACATCCTTTTGCGGTGTCTGTTTTGCCCCCAGGTACTAAAGCTATGTCTGTACTTCACTTTGCTAAAACAACCCCAGAGACCCTTGGAGGGATTAGGTCAGCCATATCAACAGGCATGGTAATGGTATGATTTTGCTTTCTTCCCTGTACCACATGAGTATTTCAGTTTCCCGTGCTTCTTCCTGACTTAAGTAGCCCAGAATTGTAATAAATATATTACAATTTATTGAACATTTACTCTTTACTAGGCAGCCTACTGGGCATCAAGTAGGCATCCATCAAACCAATCTGCTTCCTTATGGCTCCTTTCCTTTACCCTAACTAGCAGGTTTATTAAGTGCCCGATTACTCAATGAGAGAACATACAAAAGACGAGTAGTGGTAAGGAGAGGCTTCCATAAAAAAATCTTCTTTAAGCTTGCATACAGAGGTGGTGAGTAAATCTTCACTGTATAATAAGACCTGCCATAGTCCTCTGCAGCTCTTCTGATCAGGGGACAAAGTCTGTTTCTGCACACCTAGAACTGGGCCTGCTTTATTGCTTGCTTTGACTAGATTTTAGCGGTTTCTGGGAGCAGCTGCTTGAAGCCCCTTCCATGTGAAGCCCAGCTTCTTATCCTTAAAGGATAAAAAACCCACAGGCCTACTACTCACATTCAACATAGCCAATGGTCTTCCAGTGACCAACTGTCTAGTGAGAGCATCCTACAGTCAGCTACAGTTAACCTGGCTAAGAACATTCAGTCAAACCAGAAGTAGGCTCAGAATCATGATCCCAATAAGTGGTGGTTATGCCAAGCCACTAAGTGTTGGAGCCATGTGTTGTGTAGCACTTGATAGTTGACATATAGCAAGCAGCATGTTGCAAATCCCTATCATGAGAAGAAGCATGGGAAACCGAAATACTCATGTGGTACAGGGAAGAAAGCAAAATCATACCATCACCATGTCTGTTGATATGGTTGACCTGATCCCTCCCAGGATCTCTGGGGTTGTTTTAGAGAAGTGAAGTGCAGACATACCTGGGGGCAAAACAGACACTGCTAAAGGCTGTTTCCAAGGTGATTTCAACACCTTGGTGATCAGAAGCTAGCAGTGTGGAGCATTCTCACCTGGCAATTCAGTGTTCATGAAGCCCGCAACTCCCTTCAGTATTTCTGGTCTCTTTTGTGGACTAAGAAGGGGGGGGGGAGGCTGCTTACCTGACACACTACATGTGTGGTCCTGTTTTAATATGTCAAGAAAAGCACCTAGTTAGGGAAATAACAGATTCACTGAGCAGTTTGTAAGCCCCATTAGAAAATGCATTAACCTAATCAGCCCCACACCTCATAGGCAGATGGCTGACAAGCTGACCAAGAAACAGATGCTGTAGCCATTCAGCAACATTATAACTCTCTGGTTTGATTTCCTTTTTACCTGAAAAAGGAAGGAAGAAAAAGGTGCTTTCCTTCTAATGAGCCTAATTGCCTTGAAGGTGCCAGGTTAGTAAAACACAATTGCACCCTTCCTCCATCTGTCTCTCTGAATTAGCAGCAAACAGTG